AAAAAGCTCTACTCGATTGGGTCGGGTCAGGTCGGAATCTATCAGATTCAGGTCCCATGCTTATCCCTAAATCCAACCATGAGAACAAAAATAAATAAAAACAATGACCAAATAACTAAAAATATACTTAAAACAGAGAAAATATATCATAAAGATATAAAAAAAATATATCATAAACAGAGTTACTAAAAACTAAAAAAACAAAGATTTGATAGAAAAAACTAAAAATAAAATAAAATATATAAAAAAATAGATGAACGGCTTTAGGGGTTTGTTTTAAGAGAACTAAACTGAAAAACTAATTTAATAAACCCCTTCTCAATGTTCTAACACTGGCTTTTGCTTTTCGTTATCCGTATCCTCCCCTCTTTCACAAAGTATATGTATAACATTACCAATTAAAGAAAATCCCCAATTTCCCCCCCTCCCCAAACCCTACACGAAACCTTAATTCAGATTTTGCTTTAATTCCGATTTGCTGTTCTCTAATTCTTCTTCTTTTTCTTTAAAGAACCCTTATATTTTGCATCTCCTCAACGTGCTACCTTCGTATAGTTTTACTTGTGAAGAGAAATTGAGAAGCGAATGGAAGGTATACCACACCCAATACCCAGAACGGTGGAAGAGGTCTTCAATGACTTCAATGGCAGACGCTCTGGCTTGATTAAGGCTCTCACCACTGGTTCGATTTCCTTTATTTTTTTCCTTTAATATTTTTTTAGTTTGGTTTTGGGAATTACGAAGAAATTCAATTTATTTATTTGGGTTTTCTTATGGCAGATGTTGAGAAGTTCTACCAACAGTGTGATCCTGGTAAGTTTACTTTTTCTTTCTCTTTTTTCTCTATATTTCATCATTCTGGTAGTTAAAGGCGCGGAAGCGTTGAGTGCGCTGGTGTCTTTGAGTTTCTTGTCCTTTTTAATCTCACTCTCAGAACTTCTTATCATGTCTTCATTATGATTGCGTCCATCAAGGCTTCAGATTTGCTTTTCAGATAAGTAATACCATGTCTTCATTATGGGTTCGTCCATCATGGCTTTAGATTTGCTTTCAATCAACTTGGAGTGGGAATGTAATGTTTCATTCTCTTAATTTACAGTTGAAGATTACTCTTTGAATTGAATATGCTGTTTTTTTTTGTACTCTCCTTGATTACACATGATATCTCAGATGTAATTATACCTTCTTAAATTTCAGTTTCGGGGAGCAGTTTGGGTTCTGATTCTATTTAACAAATCACAATTGGAATGTGGTGCTAATAGTTATTGATTAAACTGAATATTTATTTCTCTACCAGATTTTATTTATGTTTTACTAGCAAATTTTGAGTTTATCATCAAATATTTCTATCATGATTCATTCTTTATGAGTTGGGACTTGATAATGTCTTATATGTTTGTTATAGTTCATTTCAGCTAGCTTATATCTTTAGAATTCTGGGTTTACATTTTCCTCCTGAATGAGTTAAATTTATTTTCAGAGAAAGAGAACTTATGCCTATATGGACTTCCAAATGAGACATGGGAAGTTAACTTACCTGTTGAGGAGGTGCCTCCTGAGCTTCCAGAACCTGCATTGGGCATAAACTTTGCTAGAGATGGAATGCAGGAAAAGGATTGGCTATCATTGGTTGCTGTTCACAGTGATTCGTGGCTGCTTGCTGTTGCTTTCTATTTTGGTGCACGATTTGGGTTTGGCAAGAATGAGAGGTATGTTTGCCAAATATCGCTCATTGAATCTCAGTTTACACAGCTTATTTTCTGCCAACGAAAAAAGAAAAACCCTTGTTTTATAGGATAAATTGGACGACTCATTAGAGTTTATCAATCATAAATTTTAAGCTTATTCTCTATATATACACACAGAAATAAGAAAACTACATACTTGTACACATTGTTCCTTCTCTCTAGCGGGCACTTCCTTTTGCCCTTCACCTCGGAAATATATGGATTCTACACCTAGAGTGCATTTTGTGTCCTTGAAAACACTGCTAACATGTAATTCTAACTAAAGTCTATTGTAATGCTTGCACATTATTGTTTTCCTATTAAAGAGAAATTGCTTACTTGCATGTGTATTTTCAAATATAGCTAAGCTAAGGTCAATCATAGCTCTATGTGAAGGCTTGATGCCCTCGACTATTGCTCAGTAAAAGCACATAGGCACATGAATATACATTGTTTAGGTATGTCAATTTGGTTGGTGCCAGTGTTGTCAAGGTGTGCTTAGGCCTGCCCAGGCACCATGAAAAATGAGAGTTACAGTTCAGACATGCTCAGGCTGGGTGGGTTTAAAGGGGCGCTTGCCTCTTGGTACTTTAGTGTGCTTTAGGCTTCAAAGCAAGGCGAGAAAAAGATGGCTTCATTGAAGCCGACCTCTTTGTTGTGCGTGAAAAAGAGAAGATAAGAAAAATGCTTCAATGAGGTCATCAGCCCAGAAAAATAAAGTTGAAAACTTGAAAAAAAGAAGCCGATTTTAGCTTTCCCAGGCCAAAAATAAAGTATAATATTTTTAGAGGATAAAGAGAAGGAAAGAAAATGAATCAGATTTTGAGTAGTGAGTTGGGGGGAAATGAAAAAAGAGATAAAAGAAAATGTGGCAAAAGCAGAAAAAGACGATTCAAAAAGATGCTCCCCCGTGGATTCCACCCAACTATTTAGCCAGTATTTGTTCTAGTAATTTCTTATGGTTTAAAATGTGTTGTTTTATATTTTTTAGCCATTAATACTATGTTGTTTTACTAATGAACGAATGAAGTCTATTTGTAATGTGAGATTTATTTCTTATTTACATATACTCCGTTATTTCCCATATGAATTTTACATATATATAGTTATCTATAGATGTGCGCCTCATTTTTCTCAGCGAGCACTCTTTTTTGCACCTTGTGCCTCGGGTTATATGGAGGTCTTGGCTCCTTGAGTGCACCTGGCGTCCTTCACAACTCTGGCTGGTGGTTGCCTTTTTTCTTTTTGTAGTAGAGAAGTGAAAGGCAAACAAAAAACAAATGCAAAACCAATTGAAAACAAGGGACAAATGGCAAGAGTTGAAAAACAAACAGACAAACTGAATTGAGTGATAATGATTAGTAGGACAGAACTTGCTTTAGGATGGTTATTTACACATGGATTTGTCGAGTCAGAGGTTTTGAATTTTAAAGAAGCATAATGAGTCTGCAGTTCCATACTTGAAGTGGTCTGGTGGTAACAGTGAGGAAGCATAATGAAAGATAAAACAGTAAGGGACAAAGGCTGTTGTGTGAGAAAAGGAAAGACCCTGTTTACTGGGGATATAGAGTAATAACTGTTCACCTACTATCTCTTAAATGATATTTCCATAATATCAAACAATAGCTCCTCATATTACCTTATGCGGTGTAATCTGAATTAGATATGGCTAATAGGGTTTCTTATTTTTGTCTTATTTTGCAGGAAAAGACTCTTCCAGATGATAAATGACCTTCCAACCATATTTGAAGTTGTCACAGGAAATGTCAAGCAACCGAAAGATCAATCTGCCAATCACAATGGCAGCGGCAAAAGTAAATCAAGCGCTAAGGTGGTTTTGATTGTTTTCTGTCTGGATTCCTTTTATATGTGTCTCTCTTATTTGATGTCACATTGATTACTTGCTGCTTGCAGTCTCGCCAGTCTGAACCTCAGAGTAAGATGGTGAAGATCTCTCCCCCATCCAAGGGCGAGGATGAGAGTGGGGAAGAAGATGAAGAGGATGATGAACAGGGTGCCACTTGCGGTGCATGTGGCGATAGCTATGGAACTGATGAGTTCTGGATTTGCTGTGATATCTGTGAGAGATGGTTCCATGGGAAATGCGTGAAAATTACACCCGCAAAGGCTGAACATATCAAGCAGTATAAGTGCCCAAGTTGCGGTAGCAAGAGGGCTAGAGTTTGAACGTAGATCCATAAATTGGACTCAACCAGTTGAAATGGAGCAGGCAAGATTCATAGCTTTGTTGTTGGAAGTAGAGCAGAGTAGCTCTTTTAGTTGATGAATGAATGTCTATGACTGCAGATTGGATTTTAAGTTTTGCTACCCTTGACATTTGCTCTGTTTAATGTTATTGGAAATTGTGGTTTAAACTGATGCAGGCAACTAGAAATATATATATATAGATGTAGGATCCAATTACAGTGTAGAACTTCTTAGTTTCATCCGTGTGCTTAATTTATTATGCTTTGTCTTCATATTCTCATTTAGAACTTCACTACCTGACCCTATTATTGCACTCCCTTTCATATGTCTACATGATTAAAATATAGAATACCGGTGAACTTATATATAATCACTGGCTTAGGATCTGGATTAACTGTAGAAACATATAATGCCTTTTATAGGTTTCCTAATACCCCAAATTACACATGCAAATATTCCATTGCTAGATACATTGCCATTTATAGTTTTATCTACATGAACAAGTTCTTTTTCCTTAGAAAATCTTTTTGCTATGTCTGGGAACTTGGAATCCAAATTTGACCGGATATTCAATAAAATGAATTTGGATTTGATAAGATCTAACTCTAATTTTGAAGAGAAAATATGGATTTCAAAATTCATTTTGGGAAAAAAAGTCCACTCTGCCGTTCATCAAAGATGGACACATTGCACACGCCCTGTCCCTGCCGTTGCTGCCTATAACTGGTTATTTTCAGACAGACCTCGGTTTTGGTGACATTTTCCTTTGCACAGATCGATTTCTCTGATTTTTGGGTTTGCCAAGATGCGTGTGTATGTGCATATAATACATCCATGAAAATGTTAAGACATTCTGATTTTCTCAGCATGGATGGGCGCAGATATTCTGTTGATATACCAATCTTAAGAACCCTTGTAGCACTCAGGAAAGTGAGATCATTAAGGAACATAATTTATTAATGATAAAGTCCAATGATATAATCTGCTGAAATTAAAATTTATAAATTTCATGAAAGTTGATGCCAATTTTATGTGAATTACAAGAGACAAGAAACATTCTTGCAAAGAAATTATTCCTCTACTGCACAATTTCTTAGGCCCAAGTATAACATACAGTTTTATCCTCGCCACCTAAAATACATTTTTCCTAGTTATAGCAACCCTGCAATAAGGAACAAGTTTTCTCAGAAAGAATTAATGGAATGTCTTGATGATCTTAGAAACTCATAAGTGGCTCCTTTTAGAGGGCACTTACAATGTTGAAATGCACCCAAATTCAGTTGTAGCAGAGGAATTGGGAGACCTCAGAAAGTGTTTAAATGTGTTATTTAGTACGGTCAGCCGAATTCATATTCAGAATTCTCTCTGCAAGTAACAAGTCATCGGGAGTCGTGACCTGCAAAATACAAGAATTTAGCACATCACTCGATGCAAATATAACAAGGTTACATTCTCCCATGGAAGAAACAATAAACTATACAAGAATAATTGAGTGTCACTTTCGTAGAATACAAGGTAAGAATACCTTGATGTTGGTATAAGATCCTTCAGTTACATATACAGGATGCTTAAGGTGCTCCACAATGGACACATCATCCGTCACTTCAAGACCTTCTCTGCAGGGAACAATAGATGTTCATAATATGCTCCTTGTTTTATGTTTAATTAATGAACCATAACAAACTAAAGTTAACTGTGGGGATTTTTCATTTTTGTTTTGCAACATTTTCAACAAAAGGGAGGTTCATTGCCTGCATAGAAGATGGAATGTATGAATCCTAATATCCTTTAAACCCATATGAACCGAACTTTATCTACCCATCACAGATGGTTTCCACCAATCCTGTCACTGTTCCTGCGTAAGGCTGGCATCTCACTTGTCTTTCTGATCCCCTAGAGGTTTACACACACACTAAGATACATACACACATATATATAAGTATGTGCATGTGTGTGTGTGTGACCTAATCAACACAGACATCAGTCATTCTTATGACAAAAATAAATAAAATCTCAACTCTCTAGTCTTAGTTGGTACCAAGTTAAAAGTTTATACGCCTAAATTTAGAAGAAACGTGTCTTTGGAAAGTTTATGTGGAAGTCAACAATCTCTCGGCTGAGGGAGGTACATGGTGAGAAGCTCAGACAAGGTTGACTTTCAGATGGGAATAATTTTTCTAATTTTCTAATTTGAAAATTTTGAGAACAATAACATATATGAAGTTACAGAGAGGAAGAAGGGAAGAAGAGTGGCACGCGCTGCTCTTACAAGTGCAAGCTAGATCAGTGTTATCTGCCAAGAACTGACTCCATCACCCCCTCCCCTCTCATGGGGGAGAGAATTGCATGGGGGAAGATAATTGGAATAGGTTAATAAGGTTTTGGAATGATGATGATGGTTAAGTGGTCGTTAATGTCTTGGAATGTTAGGGGTTTGGGTAGGAGGGTTAAAGCTAGAGCTGTAAGGAGGTTTATTGATGAGAAGAAGCATATAATTTTATTTTTACAAGAATCAAAACTAGAAGTTGTGTTATTCGTTAGTGAGGAAAATGAGAGGGAAATTTCTGACTGGTTCGGCAGTATCTTCAGCTGAAGGTTTTGCTAGTGGGTTAATTACTATGTGGAATGAAAAGGAGTTTGTTGTTCAAGAAGAATTCATTCAGAGGAGATTTATGGCAATAACGGGTATTCTAGAAGGTTTATCAGGGGTTTTATGTTTTATAAATGTGTATGGTCCGAGTGTGGGTTCAGATAAGGAGCAATTTTTCAGGGAGCTTCTATCCTTTTTGGAGAATGTGAATTGCCCTGTATGTTTGGGAGGAGACTAATGTTGTTTTGTCATAGGAAGAGAAAGTAGGTGGTGTTGTGAATGTTGTTTCATTGGGTGTTTTCAATGAGTTCGTGTGTAAAGCAAATTTGGTGGATCTGCCTTTGTCTGGAGGACGTTTTACTTGGTGTAATAATAGGGAAGTTCCGACATATGTTAGACTGGATCGTTTCCTGGTAGATCAGAGGTTTTTTATTGTTATTTCCCAAGATAAGTCAAAGCCTACATTCAAGGTCTTTTTCTGATCATAATATGATTTTGTTGGAAAATAGTGAATTGAATTGGGGACCTAAACCATTCACGTTGTTCAATTATGTCATGGAGGAGGCTGGGTTTAGTGAGATGATGGAGGAGGAATTGGTGAAATTACGGAAAGAAGATGCCCATTTCCAATCTGTTTAAAGGAGTGAAGGTGGCGGTAAAGAGATGGTTTAGGAACAACTATCTAGAGCTACCTGGAAAAATTAATAGTCTTGAGAAAGAAATTCAAGAGATGGAATTAGATTTGCAACAAGGTCTCCCCACGGTGTCAATGAAGGTATTAGTGGAAGCAAAAAAAGAATTATGGGACCTGTACAAGAAAGAAGAATAGATTTGGTTTCAAAAGTCAAGATTGAAGTGGGGTTTGGAAGGAGACAAGAGCACAAGATTCTTTCACCAAAGTGCAGGAGTTAGAGGGAGGAGAAATTGTATTAAGTCCCTCAAAGTGAATAATGAAGTCATTTTTTATCCTAATTTAATTAAAGCTTCGGTGGTGGAGTTCTTTAAAGGATTGTTTAATCAGAAAGATACCTTGGAGGTTGAGGAATTGGATTTGGAGTTTTTAAAACTTTCCAAAGTGCAAAGCATGGCTCTTGAGAAGCCATTCTCCGAAGAGGAAATATGGGAAGCAATTACACATTTGGACAGTAACAAAGCACCTGGTCCAGATGGTTTGAATTTAGGGTTCTTTAAGAAATTTTGGGTAAACTTGAAAGAAGATATGGTGGTGTTCTTTAAGGAGTTTCATCAAGGGAAGGAATGAGACATGGAGGTGAACCATTCTTTTATTTCTCTTATCCCTAAGAGGGTTAATCCGGAGGGGCTAGAAGATTTTAGGCCTATTAGCCTTGTTGGAGGGTTATACAAAATCCTATCGAAGGTCTTAGCTAGAAGGTTGAGTATGTGAATTAATGAGATAATAAGTCTGGCACAGTTTGCGTTTATACCGGGGAGACAGATAATGGATTGTTCGTTTATTGCAAATGAAAGTATTGATTTCTAGAAAAAAAAAAGGGCTGAAGGGAGTAGTGTTTAAGGTGGACTTTAAAAGAGCATATGATTCGGTTGATTGGTTGATTTTGCTGAAAATAATGGCAAAAATGGGGTTTGGTGAAAAATGGTGTTCTTGGATTTTTCAATGTCTGTCAACAGCATCCATTTCGGTATTAGTAAATGGATCACCTACGGAGAAAATTCAGATTGCTAGAGGATTACGACAGGGTTGTTCGTTATCTCCTATGCTTTTTAATTTTGTTGGTGAGCTGCTACATTTGCTGCTGGTCAAAGCAGTGGACTAGGGATTGTTTTCGGGCTTTGAGCTAGGTAACCAAGAGCATTCCTTCATGTTGTTGCATTTGCAATTTGCGGATGATCTCATAATTTTTAGTAAGGCCTCTATTCATGATTTGCCGAACGTTAGAAGGGTGTTATTAATTTTTGAAATGTTGGCGGGAATACAGTTAAATCTAGCCAAGAGTAGAATCTTGGGCATTAATGTTGAGGCGGAGGTGCTAGCTTGTTGGGCTAAGGATATTGGTTGTTCAGTGAGGTCTTTTCCATCAGAGTATTTAGGATTACCGTTGGGGACTAAGAGGAATTTGGTAGCCTTATGGGAGCCGGTTGTTCAAAGATTTTATAACAAGTTGGTTGGATGGAAGGGTCTTTATCTTTAGCTGAAAGGGTGGTTTTGGTGAAATCGGTGTTGTGTTCTCTCCCCATTTACTTTCCTTCTATTTTTCGAATTCTAGTATGTGTGTTGAAAAAATTAAACTCTATTATGGCAACCTTTTTTTGGGGTGGTTCGACAGAAAAAAGGAATATTCATTGGGTGAATTGGAATTTGGTGTGTAAGCCTAAGAGTTTGGGGGGTTTAGGGATTCCAAATTTTGCCCTTTTAAACAAGGCTTTTATGGGAAAATGGGTTTGGAAATTTGCTTCAGAAAAGGGATCTTGGTGGAAAAGGGTTGTGTTGTGTGTACAACATGGATCTGAACTCTTATATGATTGGGAATTCTTGGCCTACACGTGCTTCGTGGATTTGGAGAGGAGTTATTAAGAACTTCTTTTCTAGTGATGAGTTTGGGGATTGTCTTATGAAAAATGTGTTTGAGAACGGGAAATGGAAAGACAATGAAATTTTGGCAGGATTTATGGTTGGGTTCGATTCTACTAAAAGATCAGTTCCCGAGGATATTTTCTCTCTCGAACAATAAAGGGGGTAAAGTTGCAGAGTTTAGGGTGAATTATTCTTCAGGCTGGTGGTGGGATATTCAAGTGAGAAGGAATTTGGTGGATTGGGAGGTTGAACAATGGCTACAGCTTATGTCTTTGTTAAATAGTATTTCTTTGTTTTTTTATAGGAATTACAGGCCTCGTTAAAAAACCCCTTCTTGATTAATGGAGCTCGTAGAGAAGCTCCTTAATCAGTGGAATGAGGAAAAGTACGTCTTAATATTTCATTAATCACAAGAAAGTTACATAAAAAACACAACAGAGAAATACACCCCTTACAGAAACATAAAACTATAAAACAACCCTAAACAGTAGTATCTCTTTATCAGCTTTGGAAGAAGATTGTTAGGTATGGACAGGGAATGGGGAGGGTTGTTTTTCAGCTAAATCATGCATCAAGAAATTTTTTGATTGGGTTGGCACTGAGGTAACTGATGGTACTTGGGAAAGTCATGTATGGGTAGGGGTAGCACCGCCCCAGATGGAAACATTTGTTTGGCAGGTTGCCCATTAGAGAGTGGCACTTAAGGAGGAACTGTTGAAGCGAGGTGCGATAGGGATTGATGATTCGTTGTGTCCGATGTGTTGTAAGTTTGTGGAGTCGGTTTCTCATTTTTTTGTGCATTGTGAGGTGGTCTGGGGATTGTGGGCTAAATTCTTGATTTCTTGGAATGTTTCGTTTGTGGCTCTAGAGAATTTGATTGCATTCATCACAATATAGGATGATCTAGTTCTGAGCTCCATTATTTGGAAATTCATTCCAAGGGCGGTTTTGTGGTCGGTGTGGAAGTGTATAAATGAACTAATTTTTGAGAATAGGAAGGTGGATGGTACGTTGTTCTTCCTTGTTCGATTTAGAATTGCTTCTTGGTTTGTGGCGGGATTTAAAGATGTGCATATTCCTTTTGATTCACTAGTGTGTGATTTAAGACTAGCAGATTTAGTGGGAAGACAGAAGAAGGGTTGTTCTTCTTCATCTTGGTGGGTTCCTCCTCCTTCAGGGTTCGTAAAACTAAATGTAGATGGTGCGATGGTAAAGGGATGGGATAAAGGAGGTATAGGTGGATTGATAAGGGATAGTGAAGGAATGTTGTTTGGTTCGTTTTCTTAGAGGGTCAGGAGTGGTCCTCTTATACTTAGAGAGTTGCAGAGTTATTGGCTATCAAAAGAGGGTTGCTACTTATGGAGGAAATAGGATTAGCTCCAATTCGAAGGACTATTGATATGATCTCGATTATGCGTTCCAAGTCATATATGATGTTGTTCGATCGTGATTCTAGTAAGAACTTTGCAGTGCTTTGATTGAAAACTGAAAATGCACAATGTTACAAGAAAGAAATTGATATAAGTAAATTGAAAATAAAAGGTTGTAGGTTATGATATAGTGGTTTAAAAGGTGATGGAAGAGTGATGGTTGTGGTTTAACAAAATGAAGGAAAGTGGGGAAAGTGTAGTGGTGATAATAATTTATAGTGTGGAAAGAATGGAAGTATGGTGAAGGTAAAAGATGTTATGGTCTAGGAGACGAATGATGAAATAAAAAGTATGGATTTTGACCCGCTAGCTATATGGAGCTAGGAACCAGCAATAAACAAAGATGGAATCGAAGTGATAGAGGGTGGAACGTGACCCACTAGCTATAGGTGAGCTAGGAAGCAACGTTATAAAAAATGAAATGGAGGAAAGCTTCAAGACTGACAAAAAACCGATAGAGTTCTAACCCAAGAACTAAAATGAAAGCAACCTTTCAAAGAGTATATTATGCAAAAAGTTCTTACTAGAATCACGATCGGGCAACATCGTATATGACTCGGAACTCATAATCGAGATCATATCATTTGATATCAGAGCGAGCCGATTCAGTAAACGTATGGTATCATTTTCTCTCTCTTGGATTAGTAAAAAATCGAAAAGAAAAGAAAATTTTAAAGAGGGCGAGAGCAATCTTTTTCATCTTTGAAAAAAATAATTAAGAAGGTTTCGTATTTGTTTCATCATTTCTTTCATTATCTTTACGATTTCATTACCTATTCTCATCTTCGTTCTTTCTTGTAGCCATTCCTTTCTTTACTCACATTATTCTCCAACCAAGCCACAATTGTTTTAGCCGAAGTCTACAAGACACCTTGTAAACTTCGAGGGAGTTCCACAAGAACTTTAAAGGAAAGCAAGAGCGGTAAAAGGAAAGAGTGTACATTAAGGGTAAAAGCCATCCCGAGTGAAACACGAGAGAGACTTTTCTTTGGAGTGTATTGGTGATATTTGTTTTGTGTTGATGAGGTTTATTTTCATCTTTATTAATCTTTTCTTTTCATTATGTCTCGAAAGTATACAAGACCAAATGATTATACAAGAGACAACGTACAAGATTTTACATCAAATTCTCAATTTCAAGATTTCAATCAAGAAATAAGGAGTTTGCTCAAAAAGAATCTCAATCTCAAAGAAGTTGGATCGAATAATTGAAAAAGGTTCTTGTTCACAAACACCTCCACCGAAGATCAAAAGGCAAGTAAAGAGGAGAGACGACACTCGACCTGTTTCTAATTCTACATCCAATTGGAGCGAAAGATCTTACAAGGAGGATCCCAATTTTCAAAAAAGAAGCAATGTCAAAAGTTCAACGCGGAGTGAGCTAAGCAATTTTGCATCTTTCAGTCTAGCTCATCTTCAAGAGTGTTTTGACAATTTTGTCAAATAAACACAATTGCAAGAACTTTTTGCATAATAAACTCTTTGAAAGGTTGCTTTCATTTTAGTTCTTGGATTAGAACTCTATCGGTTTCTTGTCAATCTTGAAGCCTTCCTCCATTTCATTTTATTATAACGTTGGTTCCTAACTCACCTATAGCTAGTAGGTCACGTTTCATCCTCTTCGACCTCGATTCCATCATATTATATTGTTGGTTCTTAGCTATATATAGCTAACGGGTCAATCCATTTCCTTGAGATTCTTCATACTACAAACCAACTCCCTACTATCTTCACCAACCTTTTCATCCTTTATTTTCCTTAACCACAACCATCACTCTTCCTACACTGCTAATCCATTTCAACATATCTTTCATCTTTGCATTTCCATATTTATTTATCTATTTCTATTTTACAACGTTGTTTGCGAATTTCAAATTACATTCAAAGTATTGTGGAGTTCTTACTAGAATCACGATCGGGCATTCACATATATGACTCGAATCTCATAATCGAGATCATATCAACTATTCTCAAATCGGATTCTCTTACTGCTTTAAAGTGGATCAAAAATCCGGCTATATGTACCCCTATGTTTGAGTCTTTGGTGAAAGATATTGCTTCCCTTGTAGAAGGTCAGGACATTATTATTAGGCATACTCTGAGAGCTGCCAATTGGGAAGCAGATAAGTTAGCTAAAGATGGAATAGGTTGAATTATAAGTTGTGTGTTTGGGATGTTGTGTCGTTGTGAGTTGTTTGTATTAGTGTAGGAAGTTTTTTTTAAGTTTTATGTTGTAACAGAAGGTTCTTAGGAACTGGTTTTGTATTATTGTTCTATTAATAAAATCATAGACACTCTTTTCCTCCTTCCAATGTCCTTCACGTTACTGCTGTAACATGGAGGTTATGAAGGGGGGTTTTAATGAGGCTTACCATATTTCTATAAAAAAAATGACATGCTTTTTTAGACTAGTGGTAGTCGCTCAAAACTGATGGAGAGTTAAGTAGAGATTAGAGTTTTAGTTGCTTATGTGCAAAATAGACAATCCCTCTATAGTTCAAGGTATCAAACGACCCTGTATTAAATGACATCAAAGTATTTTGTCATAAGAACCATGTTAACATAGCTCAGTTGAAAAGGAGCAAAATGTGTCTTACGAGAAATGGAAGTAACTAGAAATACCCGAATGAGGACGCATCCATTCCTTATTTATAGGTGCATATAAATGCATAGCTAATGGATTAATGGATCTAAGAAAATATGAAACGCATATCAACTTTCTATCCCAATAAATGAACCTGCAATATAAGATTCTCTTCTAAATATTTTTACAATATAAAAATTTGAAAGACAAGAATATATGCATTTATGTCAGTCAATAACAGAAACGCAATATTAAATTAAATTTTCCCCAAATATTTTTCAAAAGAAGACAGTCAATAAGTAGTTTGACTAGAAAATTGAGAATTATCAAGTACCTATTCACAAGCTCGAAACCTTTTCTCAGCAACTCTGGCTTAATAACCTGTATGATAAATTTGAAGTTGTTCAGTTATGTGTGCGGTATATTCAATTAAATCATTCTCAGAAAGATAATAATATCATATGTTATCTCTTTCAACGAGTAAACCTGTGGGGTCTGCATTTCCCATAGTGTTTTTCGGTCCAGAGTCTTCACTACATATGAATCAGTATTTGTCTGGGCAGGAAAAGAACATATTACATAATCATTTAAATCAATTAAACAAGGAAAGATATAATGAATGGTAATCTTTTTTGAAGTCTTGGTTAAGAATGACAACTAACTAGAGATAAACAATAGGACAAACATGCGATTAATGCAAAGGGCTTCTAATGCATAAAACATACGATTCACTATTTTCCTAGGCAGAAGATCAGGGCATATAGTACAATCAATTAATTAGATAAACATGAGAAGATCATCACCAGTAATATGTTTGTGCTCTTGAAATAAGAATGAAATATGTTAGTCTCTATTTGCTAGAGACAAACAGCATGGCAACCATGTGTTGCATAGAGCTTCCAACAGAATCATCATATATTAAATGCTTGAACATTAAAATGTTGCGTGAATAATACCTATAACAACTAGTAGAAAATGATATATGTGTGACCTCCTTACCATGCCAAGTTAGTCAGTTATCTTTCAGTAAAGGACTATTCCAAAGTCTAATTTATCAAAGAACATTTCTCAAAACTGACATATAGACACAAAAATGCAAAATATCTGTTCATTATGTAACTTCCATTGACAGACGCAGATAGAATTCCATCCCAGATTTTCCTTCTTTGAAAAAATCAATGCTAGACAAAAATATAATTTATATAGTAATATATATCCCAGTTTAGCAATATCATGTTGAAATCTACATAATTTACTTCCATCCTGCTAGGTCATAAAGCCGTTATTTTACATGGCCATTAAAAGTAGTGGTTATATTAGATAGTCTGTTTCAGTTCGAAGGGTATAAGAAAGTGACTTGAAGATTAATATCTCTACCTCTTTAATTGTGGCTTTCACAGGAACCCCAAGTACTGCTGCTCCAATCAGCCAACCATCTTTAAGAACCTAATAAAGCAATGATAGATCTAATAAGGTACTATTTGAACTTCTTTTATAGAAAAAGTTGAAGCTTGATATGTGTAAAGACTCGCATGTAATTGTGTTGTTATCCAAACAAAGATATAAAGAAAGGAAAAGGGGAGTGACTTGTATATAGAGACATGCAAATGATTAAACACCTTAAAGAATTTGTCTCATTGGTTCATCAAAACACCAGGACGTATAAAACCGTCTGTTCCCTTTCACTAACTACTCCACAATCTATGCCTATTTTACTCTATTAAAACTATTTGTCTGTTTCCAAAGTCAGTTTGCACTTGCATCACAAATCCAATAGCACAAATGTGGAAAGAAGTCACCACATTGTTATATACCATCAGCATGAGGGACTAAGGCAGGGCATCAAATTTGTCTGTCACACATGAACTGTAAGCATCCTGGTATCAGAATCTGAATATTGTCCGCTATTATGCTTTAATTGGTGAAAAGACAAAAACAATGGAAAAATATTTCAATGGCTAAGCTACAGAGTAGGGAAATGGTTATGAAAACCTGTCCATTAGATCCATATATTATCCATCCTTACCTGTTTCTATCCTTCCCTGAAACCAAAGCTTAAAGCTTGTCACAGCTAAACAGTTCAGAATAAAGAACCAGTCACTCAAAATAAATGCAGTATTGCATCAATCGATACCCAGAACATGATTCTAGAACTTTACTTGTCACTATGCCATACATAAGAAGCACAAGAGAGTATATACATGGCTTTGATTGATCCAACCTCCCATAGATACCAGGATTACATTCCAATTCCTTATCTTTATTGCTAGACTCTAGAGTCGCACTAATTTCATTTAACTGCATTATATATTACCACATTTATTGAGTCCAAACCTTTTCTACATCTTCAGATGTTACCAAGGGTCGTGCAGAATCATGAATGCAAACAAGCTCAGAATTCAAATCAACTGCCTGTAGACAAAAATGGCAATATAATAAGAAGAAAAAGGTATGGTGACTTAAACATACAAAGGAAGGCATTGTCTTGGAAAATATCAAAGGAAATTCCAAATTAACAAGTCACAGCATCCATCAGAAAATTTCCTTGGAACATAAGACCAGAGAAAAAGGCAAACTATCAACTTATAAGTAAAAATCAGGTAACTAATCAATTCAAATAAAATTGCTAGGGCAAAGGAAGAGATAGAATATAACTTTTTGAGTTGGCATACAATTGTGTGAGATTGATTAGTACTATATTCAGAGGATTGGTATTTTTAGTACATGCTTTGGGAGGGACTATAATTTGAGGAATATAACTAAACTTTAATATCATATATGTTGAGGGAAAGGCCACAGCTACATGCAGCTCTACTTTTGTGTAAAAATTCTGATAACATTCCCATGGGCTTAAGATAGGAAAATTTCTAGAAGTTTATGTTTTAGAGTAATTTGTGTGAAACATACCTCAGTAAGAAAATTTTCAGGAAGTAGGGATATATCCAGATCAGAATTCTTGAATACTGATACTGCTGGACCAAAATTGGGTCCCATTATGACACGTGGAACAAATTTCATTCTATATGGAAGACGTCCACTATTGACAAAAGGTCAAAGATGACACTAAAAACCAGTGCAGATAATGAAAATGGAAAATCTTTATTTGAAGAAAAACTTATTCCAGTCTAGGAGGCACAAAGAAATGCAGAAAAATAAGAATGGAAAATTTTATATGAAGAATAACTTGATTTTCGTAACTTAATTTTAAGTAGAATCTCCAATATATAAAGTGAGCTTTTCTTAATGAAGAATGATGATTTAACCTTCACAAGCTAGAACCAAAGACTAGTTGTATACAAGGATGTTGTAAACAAAAGTATGACATACTGAAACTAACAATGTTCTTTACTCTTTATTCTGAATGTAGAAGCATTTCCCAGATACCTGAAGCCCACTATAAACAGAATCCTGTCTCTCCTTCCCAGGAAGCGTGAATTTAAGGTCTACATTAATTTTGTCTTTGGTTTCTGGGACAAAAAAGCATCATATTAAAAGGAATGTCCCCTGAAGCACTGGAATCAAAAGATCTAGGTGATACCAAAACAGGATGAAATGCTTCTCAAGGTACCACAAGCACAAAACATACATACACATTTTGGGAGTGAGTGCCCAAACGCAGTCAACCAACAAAATGCATATATGAGCATGCATATGTATATTCCGGTATGCATATATTGTGTGTTGGTGTGAGAGAGAGAGAGAGATACCTTCAAAAATGTCTTTGTATGATGGATCACAAACCACAACAATTTCTTTCACTTCAATCATTCGTGAGAAAGTATATAAACTGCCAAAGATAAACAGACATTTTAGGTAAACAGTTACCATCATAATGAACAGATAGACAAAGATAACATTTACAACTGACGTATTATAACCCAATGACAAAAGCGAAAGACACCATGTGGTGTTAACTCACATGGAGCCTCGTACTGTATATTTTCCGAACATTATGCAGCAATCCTTAAATATAAAATGGTACTTGTGGAACAAAATGAATAAGTCGATAAAAGCTGTTCTTATTTACCTATACAAAGCAATTGGTTGTCCTAAAAGAGGTAGATATTGCTTTGGCATGCTTGCCTATTTACACAAACAAAAGAAAACTATTAAAAAAAAGCAGCAATAACAAATAATGAGTAATTTAAAGGAAAGTCATCAGATTAAAAAAGGCATTAGAAATTTACGGGCCATTTCAACAATCAGACAGGAAGATGCTCATGTGATTAAAGAATTCCATTGATGATATATATAAACGAACCCAGCAAACGATAGTATTACTAAATATAAATGAAGGGATAAGAAAGGATACTCACCCCCATTCTTTTGCCTTGGCCTCCGGCTAAAAGAATGACTGAAACGCTTTTTTCTTTCACAATTGCAGAACCCTGAGCGGAAACCAAACACCGTCCATTTCAACAACAACAAAAATACTGCAGTGTATATACAAAGAGGCATAACAGTCAATGTAGTTTTACATTATCAACTTTTTCCGAACACCTAATCCCACAAGTACGGACTCTGGCCCTTCCTCTCAAATCTACTTTTTGCCCTGAAAAAGAAAGCGCTAGATGAAGAGAAAACAATCCCGTTTGGATCCGACCCGGGTCGATATGGGTACCAGATAGGGAAGCGTCTTAGACGAAAAGATGAGAAAAGAAAAAAGATTGAATTGGGAAGAAAGAGGGGAAAAGGAATGTACTTACTTGGAGAAGAGAAGGTAAGTTGAAGGTGGGAAAAGAAAGGGGGAGCATGGGTGGGTTTTGATGGGAAAGGGTGAGTGGCAATGCAGCAAGTGGGAGCGTTAATGAGAAGAAGACTCATCATCTTTCACGGTCTGTTACCTCCCTGGATTACCTTAAACTGGATAATACTTTGACCTCTGCCTCGGCTTCTCCTATATCTCTGGCTATTGGTCTCCAAACCTCTTTTACCCGTTTATTAATTTGTATAATTATACTTATATTTTGGGAGGGCAGGACTGAACTCGATGGGTTCTTACTCGATCTGATCTTATTTGATTGAGATTTAAAAAATTGAATTTAGATTAGATTAAATTTTTAGTAGATGTATTTGGTTCGAGTTTAGAATGAACAATATTTGATTTGATTTGAAAAATAATATAATTAAATTTTATATATTTAAATATAATTACAACAATATTTTTCTCTAAATTATTTTTTAAATTAAATCTCTATTTTATTGAATAAAAAATATTTCTTTTATTAATATATTTGTTTTGAGTCGGGTTAATCAAATTTTGAATCAAATGAAGTCATCACAAACTCAAGTTAAGTCAAATTTCAAGTAGAAAATATATACTTCACAAATCAAATCAAATTACTTGAAAACTCGACCAACACAACCCAAAGTCATCCCTATTTATACTATCCTTATTTTTTATACTAAAGGAGATTAACCCAAGACGATGGAAAAGGGATTGAACCAAGTTTATCATTTAATTTTAGGGTAGATTATACTGGTAGTCTTTTATGTTTTCAACCCGTTTAATTTTGATCACCAATTTAAGAAAAAATAATAGTTTTAATCTCTTATGTTATCAATCCGTTCAATTTTAATCCCTCAATCGTTAACTCTCATTATTACATTAACAAAAATCCGAGTTGACAATAAAAAAATTAAAAACAACGTAATTTATTTGATATGTTGCTTTGAGTAAAGATTTAATATGTTATTTGTTGGCAGGACATGATGACTGGTTGAATAGTATCAACAAGTATATAGCATATGATTATGGGGATTCCATTATGATAATTTTGGTTCATCATTGCATAAAATCTATTTTCTTTATTAAATACATGCTATGTGTAACTTATTTTGGTTTTGGATTTAAAGTGGAGGAAGAAGAAAATACATTGTTTTTTTTAATAAAATTGTCAGCTTAGATTTCTGTTAGTGGACTAATAGAAGTTAAAGGCCAAGAGACTAAAACCAAACGAATCAATAACTTAAGGGACCAAAATTGCTCTTTTTAAATCAATGACTAAAATCGAACAAACTGAAAACATAAAGGACCACCCATATAATTTACCATTTAATTTAACAATAGGTTGATAATATATTTTATTAAAAGTTATTTTATTGATAAAAGTTAAATAAAGTTAAAATGGAATTAGGTGAATATAAACGGAGGTTTTTTAGGATAAAAGAATGCTTAATCACTTCACCTGTCATACCCCAAATTAGGGCGTAAATTTTTCTTAAAATTTACTCGGAAGACTAATTTGAAATTTTAATTAAATTTGGGTACCATAGTAAAATTTTGATTAAATTTGAATCCAAAATAATAAAGCAACTAAAATTGAAGGACCTATAGTGTAATTATACCATTTTTTAAATGAGGGTTTAAAAGCTTCAAAAATCATAAACTTTCCATTTCTGGAAAGTTTAAACCATTCTCCTCTCTCTTTCTTCAACCTTTCCTTTTTTAATAGGAAATTTTTAATCGACGTTTCGTCGCCAACCGTTGTTCCGTTTTTTACACCTCTCACATCATCGTGTTTCTTGCATCGTCCCGAGTCCACCGATGTTCATATTGTCTCCGTTGCCTCCGACATGTGAGGGGGTGAGGAAGATCAAGTTTCCTACGTTGCGAAATCGAGCTCACCACCATTCACCGTTGTGAACCGAGCTTGATAAGTGTCTCAAAACCCTTTAAAATGCATATAGGAATTTTTCCGTAAATTTTTCGACCCCCGAAGGACCCGCACGTGCCCCCACGTGTCGTCGCTGCGCGTGAGGAAGGTCCACCGCTTGGTGGGCTTCTATAAGATGCCCGATCCGATCCAACCCAAACCAAACCAGTCAGCCGTTGGCTTTTTCTGAAAACCTCTATCTTGACGTTTTTCAATGTTCTGAATCTGATTTTCTAATCTATTTTGCTAAATTTTGATTTGAAAGCCCCGAATCGAGTTTGTTAACCCAAATATGCTTAGTATTTTTAGCATTTTTGCTTATTTATTTAATGTTTGAATATGGAATTAATTCGGGAATATATTTTTATGAAGATGCTCATATTTCTCCCGACCGAGGGTCGATTAGATCTGGTGTTTCCCATCCGTCAGATCCACACGATTCGCGTTCTTTGAGAGTTACTTGTTGGTTTCTGTAAATTGTTTAAATATAGATTATTATTAATATTAGGATTCTGATATAGATTTTCCGATTCGTAGGATCTAGCGTTGTTGTTGATCGTGATTGGTAGACTCGGTAGTAGGCTTTCTTATAAGACTACTTAGACAGGTACAAGTGTGTTTTCTGATGGTGTTACATTAGTGTTTTAAACTATTTATCTGAACTATTTTAGATTTATGATGATATTGAATATTTTTACGACACGACACCTGATTTTCTGAATATTGTTTATCTGATAGCAAATTTACTGTATATTTTTTATATGTTCTCTAGTTACTATATTTTTGTATTTGATTTCTGAGTATGGAATATATTCATGTTTTAATGGATTAAACTATCGTTTTCACTCGAATACATACATGTTTATTATTGCCAGGTGGGGTATTATTGGAGGAAATATATCATGCTAGTCTATGACTTGTAATACCTTACTGCATGCTCATCAACTTTGTGCACAGGGTAAATCCTTACCGCGTGTCCTTATGCGATATGTATAAGGCCCTTACCAGGTGTACAGGTGGGTGTATGGTTCCGAGGAACCTACACATTCTGGTGATCGGTCAGGGTAGTGTTCATATTTTTTAAAACATGTTTGATGAACTAATTTTTACTGAATAATTTTATTTGTATGTTTTTATACACTGTAAAGAGCACACTGGGCTTTTTTTAGCTCATTTTGTAAATTTTAACCTTTTCAGATAGTAGCAGACCGTAGACTAGCAGACTTGGCATTAGGAGGACCAACTACTCCTATTTTTATACTATGGCATATATCTATATGCCTTTTTGTTATATTTTAGTGACACGTTTTTTTCCACTGTCTTGATATATTTGTATTACAGGTATTTTGTTTTGTATATGTTTTATACGATTTTCTAATATATATATATATATATATATATATATATATCGTATGAATCTTTCTTATGGCTAATTTCATATTATACTTTTATATGGATTTTAACGTTGTTTTAAATATGAAAAGGTTTTTTAATACAATATGTAACTGCCTAGGTTTGGTTATATCATCTAGGCTGGGTCTACGGGGTTACACTTGGTGGTATCAAAGCCTTCAATTTTAAACACTCAGGCTGTGGATGAATCCTAAAATCTGGATATTCAAGATATTTTTGATGCTCTTAAAAATTGTGTCACCTTATTTTATGAGTTTTAAATATATTCGAGATTTATGATGCTAGTCTAACTTAGGTTCAAATTCTTTCTGTAGAACCTTGTAGATTTATTCGATGAGTGCTGCTAAAGGTCGTAGGCTAGGCCATGGCCATGGTCGAGGGTAAGCGACTCGACCTTATATTACGATATATGATCTGATGTCACCTCGAGATCCTTCTATTTTGTATGTAGATCCGTCTATTTTTCGTGATGATCCAGTTACACTTGCGAGAGACCTTCCCGTCATTGAGGACGAGGACACTGATTTGGATAAGGATGTCATTAATAGATTTGTCTTTTGTATGTTCCGGAGAGATGCTAGAGTCCCTGGTAATATGTTTACGGTTGAGATTTCGAAGTCTTTGGTATCTACTGGAGTAGTTCTGTTCAAGGGTATTACTGGTTGACCTCCGACTGACATTGAGTATTGATTGGATGATACAGAGAGGATTATGGATGAGATAGATCTAAAGCCTAAGCAGAAGTTAAATTTTGCCCTAGCTATGCTAAAAAAAAGAGTTTTAGATTGTGGCAATTGATTTCCAGTTGTATTTCAGGGAATCAGTTGACTTGGGACTTTTTAAGGCACGTTTTCAGGGTCGCTACATCAAAGAGAAATACATGTAGGAGCGACACCAAGAGTTTCATAATTTAGAGTAGGGTGATATTTCTCTTATGGATTATGAGATTGAGTTTATCAGATTGAGCCGCTTTGCTACTGGACTTGTTGACAATAAGTTGGATCGGTGCTTGATATTCGATAATGGACTCAAGTATGAGATTAGGAGTTTAGTTATTACCCATCGGGAGAGGAACTTTGATGCCTTGGTTGAGATAGCCAATACCGCTGAGGAATTAGAGCGAGTAGGTATAGAGCGCAGGAGAGATCGAGACCGAGACTGATTCAGGAGGTCTTCTGGTTCTGTTGACTCTTCTGCACACCCCATCAAGAGAGGTAATGGTGAGTTTTTTCAGAAAGACGGTGCAAGTACCAGGCCTGTGGCGTCACATTCGTTAGTTGTTACGCCTTCTAGTCAGGGTGGTTCTTCTAGGTTGCAAACTTTGTCGTCATGTGAGCACTGTGAGAGAAGTAATTTTAGTGAATGTGGGAAGAAGTTGGGTACCTATTTTAGATGTGGTTCTGGTAACCATCTCTTGAGGGATTGTCCAGAGCCAGCTTCTACAGTTCAGACACTATCTTGTACTCCCGCTCGTATTTAGAGAGCATTGGGATCAACTAGTAGAGGCTGAGCCTCTCAGAGTAGGGGGTTGGTTTACGCTGCTAGACATCGACAGGATCGCGATGAGCCTGATGAGATTGCATGTAATGTTATTATTCATTCACTTCCCTACTTTGCCTTATTTGATAATGGATCTACCTATTCTCATGTTTCGTATTCTATTTTTTGGGGTCTTAATATTTCGGTTGAGAATACTGAGAGTTCAGTGATAGTTCTAAGTTTCGTAGGTCAGTCCATAGAGTTAGATCGTATTTATAGATGGTGATCTATATAGATCCATGTGGATATATTTTT